GCATGCACTATCTTCAATAAAAGTTTTGATGCATTGCTTAAATGGGAGTACAGAGACCTATGTTCTGTGTTTCTACTTTTTCCCCTCTCTCTTGGATCCTATGTTCTTTTGAAGAAAATCCTATAAAAGCTCCTTTTTTCTCTTTTAATTCCACAGTGACCCTCTTGACCATGTGTCCTAGGGACTGTCATTAGTAGAAAGCATTGTTACCTATCTGTAAGTCATGCCCCTTACTTTTAAGGGAGAAAATAGAATTAGCAAGTTGAACATAGGACCAAGCAGAAAGGGTAAGGTTTGGCTTAGGAAAAGAATCTTTATGGCCTTCAGTTACCATTTAGCCAATTACCAGTGCTCCTATGTTCAGAGCTCTGTGTATTTTAGTATCAGCAATGTTATTCTGGTTCATTACCATAAAACATCAAGAACACCTCAGCTCACATACCCAATGTAAAAAGTCACATTAATTTCTAACACTTTATGCTTTTAAGTTTTTGGTTTTTTTTTTCATGGGTAAATACAACCCTAATAATTACTATTGGGTTGTTAGTTTTTTTTCATAGTGTTCTTAGCTGCTTCCGTTTAATAAGCCTTAGCCTTTCGTTCTTGAAGTAGATACAGCCATGCTGCTCATGAATTGATCCACACATGCAGTTCTTACTTTCCCTTGGAAAATAGTAAAAGTCCTTGCTGACTAGGAAGCACAAGTGCTTCATTTATATGTGTCTTGGTTAGCCAACACCTAGGTACCAGTTCCAGTATAATGTATCTTTGTTATGCAGTTTTTTTCCCCCTAACAATTCAGGAAATTCTCTTTGGTTTTTATACACTAAAGTAACGGCAGACCCACACAGAGTTCTCTCAGGGTTTTGAGCTAGTCATTCTCTTTTGCTCTCTGCATTTTAAAGGTAGCAGATAGTCTTCATTCTAAGTGTATAAGCTAGATCCTCCAGACAGTGGGAGCTTAATAATGATAAAACTCAAATTGAATATTAACATTGAGGAGTGTGGAGATGTTTCATTGGGTAAAATGCTGCTTGTGCAGGTTCAGAGCAGACTTTGGATCCAGAAAACACATGTAAGCCAGTTGAGCTACTGTGAGTCTGTAATTCTTGGTGTTTTTACCTTGATGTGTGGCACAGAGGTCAGGGGCAGAGAGATACAGGAGAATCTCCTGAGGCCATGGTGTTAGTAATCTGTCTAATCTTCACCTCCACAGTTACCTGGCAGTGGCCAGGTATGCTCCTCCCCACAGTTACCTGGCAACAGCCAGGTAGGCCTGCCCACTATAAAAGGGGCTGTTTGCCCCCTCCTCTCTCTCTTACTCTTGCTCTCTTGGTCCCTTGACCCTGGGCCTGCAGGTTCGCTGTCCCCTCTCCCTTCCCCCCTTCCCTTCCCCCTCTCTCCATGTGATCATGGCCGGCCTCCATTCCTCTACCTCCCCGCTCTCCCTCCTATCTCCTGAATAAACCTCCCCTCGTGGAACTGTCTAGTCTGCTGTTATCTGTCCAAGCTGCGCGTGAAAACCTTTTACATGGTCAGGGTAGTTGGATGAACACAGTGGCGAGCAGGAGACCCTGCCTCAAATAAAGTGGAAGGTGAGGACTCACACCAGAAGCTGTTCTTTGATCACCAGATGCCAGCCTATTGTGACATGCATGTGTGCATACCTGTCCTATGTATAAATGCATTACACAGACACACCTGACACACACAGACACACACAGACACAGACACACACACACACACACACACACACACACACACACACACACACACCAGTCAAGTATTCCATAGAAAGTTGCCGTTACAACTTTTGTACTTGCTGAGTAGCACTTACATGTTTTTCCTTTGGGTTTGATGGGCCTCTCTTTGGACATTACAATTTTTAGGGGAACTCGCCAGTGCTAAGGTTTTCTCAGAGTTTCAGTGCTTACATGTGGAGGGAATAATTATGTTTGAGAAAGTCGCATTTTGAAAGAAGCATTTTTTTGACCTTATTGTTTTGATACAGAAACAGATTTCTAAGATCAGGTGTCTCCTGGTCAGTCAATAGCTCCAGGCTTGTCCTCAGCCCTTGCCTTTGCCGCCATTCTGAGCCTGTCCTGCTGGTGGTGAGAATCGACAGGGAGGTGTTTTTCTGAAGAGTAGGAATAATGAACTGACCTAAGCTGCTTGTTTTCTTTCCTCAGGCTCTTGTTTTGCTTCTTGTACCTTGAACTCTTGAGGTTTCTTTTTCTGTGTTTCCTACCCCTGTTTTATGATTCTGTTTTGATTCATCACATTTTCCTGTGTATAAAATAGTGTATTTAATAATATGCTGTCCCTGTGTTTATATATACCTGCATAGTCTAAGATCAAACTTTTAGCAAGTATTTAAATTACACTGGAAACCACTACAATGAGGTAGCTTAAGAAAACAAGCTCAGAACTAGGAAAGAGATGGAAAAAGATACCTGGTTTTTACATGAGTATCTGCCCACTTAAATGAAAGTTGTGTGTACAATTTATTTAGTTATTTAGGTTTCTTTTGGCAGTGTAGTCCAGTCTGGCCTTGATCTTATGGTCTTCTTGCCTCAATTTCCTAAGTATTGGATTTACAGTTATGTGCTAACACATCTAGCATATAATTCTAATTTAAATGGCAGTCCAGTTTTTGATCTTTGAAGAAATATACATGTGCTTTTTTTGGGTGTTTGCATCTTTTGATTTTATAGCATATGACTTTTATTTCTTATATGACTTCTACTTTGATGTTTTTTTTTTTTAAAGATTTATTTATTTCATTCATATGAGTACACAGTAGCTGTCACAACAGAAAAGGGCACTGGATCCCATTACAGATGGTTGTGAGCCACCATGTGGTTGCTGGGAATTGAACTCAGGACCTCTAGAAGAGCAAGTAGCCAGTGCTCTTAACCACTGAGCCATCTCTCCAGCCCCTGGCCGCAGATTTGTCATGTATTCTAGGCTGGCCATTAAATTCTTAATCCTTTACCCTTTACCTCCCAAGTGTTTGGATTACATGTACCACAACATAGTGATCTTCTACACCTCTGTTATAGGTTTTAGAAACCTTTTATTTCTCTTAAATTTGTCTATTTTTATTGTTTGCTCTTAAAAATCTCTCACTTGAGGCTAGAGAGATAGATGACTCAGCAGTTAAGAGTACTGGCTGCTCTTCCTGAGGACTCAAGTTCAAGTTTCAGTACTCACGTGGTGGCTCACAACTGTATGTATCTCCAGCTCCAGGATATCTGATACCCTCACATGCAGACAAAATACTAATGCAGATAAAAAAAATGATAAAAAACATAAAACCTACCACTTGTATGGTGTTTTCCTGAAACTACTCGTGTTGGTAGTATTTCCATTGGGTTAGTAGGTTGCTTACTATTATAAATAGGATTTCAGCTTTATACTTGATTTCCTTGCCTTTGCCTTTTAAGAATTAGATCATGTGACATGCTACTCTCAGAACCTGATACATCCTCTTTTGTCACAGGTGCTTGAAATGATCCCTTTTAGGAGCCAGCTGAGTTGTAATTGGGGTGATACCTCCTGTTGTAGAGTAATAGCATGTAGATTTATTTAACCAAAGTCAATGTACATAAACCTGTTCTTTTGGAGAGTACACAGAGCAGGTAGGATTTGCACCTTCTTTGGGAACTGTGTAGTTTTGGTATTTAATTGTGGTATCTGTCTCTGGGATGACACTGGCGGTAAACTTTACAGGCTTGTTAATGATCACCAGTAGTATTATTAAAAACCGTATTTTATATACCAAGATTTTCAGCAGTAGTACATAGTACAACATTATTACTACTTTTTCTTAGGTCACAGTAAGCTGCTTTAATTCAGCAGGTAGTTGAGTCTGAAACTTAGTGGAGTGGCCAATCACGGTCATTAACATGGCCACCTTGGTATACACCTTGGTATGGTTCTTTCAGGTACATTCCTCCCTCCCCCTTCATTAGGAAGGGACATGTTGGTAAAGGCAGATAATATGGAGTACTATTTACACTGACAAATTTTTGGTTGAGATCATCATTATGGTAAAGTAATGAATATAAATCTGTTTCAGTAGAACAGAATGAGTGCAAATTTTATTCTGTTCAATAAATGTCAGATTTAACTATGTAACACTAACGTGTTAGGTGACAATTGTTAGCACATCTTCCTTTATAACCATGAATGAATAGATCTAGTTTCCTATTTAAAAATGTTTGACCCTTTCTGTCTTTGAAAGCGCTAATGCTCCAATGAATAAAGAAGGAGAATTGGAAATTGAATACAACTACCTGAATACAAATTGCTGCCCTGCCCTTGATTACTAAAACTGATATTTTTCTTCCTAAATACTTTTTTCCTTTGAACTGTGCTTTGTGTGAAACTAATTTATTCATTTTTCTAAAGTGGCCTTGTTTGTCTAGTAAGGAAATCAGCCAAAGAGGTCTCAAGTAAGCGACAATGAAATTGAAAAGTGTCTACTGTCACCACTGGTGATAAATCAGAGTGTTGTTAAAGATGCAGATAATCACTCCAGTACACTCCTCGTCGTTCCTAGAATTATTTAAGTTCATTAAGCCAGCAAAGTGCTTCATTGTCTATTATGCTGCATACTAATGGTAAATTTAAAGTTCCAATGTTTTATAATACAAAAAATTTCTGAAAGTCATATTTAAATCTTTATATCATTATGGTGTGAGTCTGGATATTGAATAGTACTAATTATTAATTGGGAGAATATATTTATTGAACCCCTATTAGGTTTCTAGTTTGTGAGGGTCATAAAACCAAGAGATTTTAGTAAATATTTGAAACTATTGTGTACAGGGTAACTTTTGTCTGTCTTATTGACAAATAGATTAAAACAATACATAATATACTTCTATTGCACTGTCAGGAATTTAATTACCTCATGGTAGCATTGTGGAATGTACTTATTAACTAAAATAAAAAAGCTGTTATAAATTACTGACTGATTTTTTTTTCATTTGCAGCATTTAAATATTAGAACACTGACGGATGATATGGTAAGGCTATCTTCAACTTTCCCTTTGTCGTGTATTTTAACTGTGTACTGCTCTTGGCATGCTATATTAGCATCTCTGAAAATGCCCAAACCAGCATGTACCGAGAATGTGTGTATCGTGCTACCATAAGAGCTAGAACTGGTAAAATACATTAAATTGTTGCTTGTATGCTGTGAAAAGGAATAGTCAATATGTTAATATAAAAATTGTGCTTAATTACAAATTGTTAGTCAACTTTGAATCATTCGAATCAGCTCTCATTCTTTGAGGACGAGTTGCATATTTCAAAAAGAGGGAGGAAAAGCAGCTAACAACACGGTGGCTTGCTAGAAAAATGTAGTTGCTAATTAAAGTAAGCCAGGTTGAAATGCCATGCATGTATTTGAGAAATTCTGTTTAAAACTGAGAAGCAGGCATACCTGCTTGACTTTCAGGTTAGTAGTATGGCTTCTTCTAAGTAACTAATGCCTTAGCTGTGAGGTCAAATGATTCTTCTTGAGAATTATACTTTTGATCCACAAATACACATTGTGTAAATGTAAAGGAATGATAACAGTACCAGCCACAAATAATGAAAATAGGAAGAATCTGTGAGCACAGTGGAGAGGAAGAAACACTACCTTACCAGCCAGGTTTGGTATTCAGCATCACTGACAGTAAGTGCAAAGTAGAGTGCTGTCAGAATGTTTGTCACCTTAAGTATCCAGAGTGCTGGCTGTAACACCTGGTTAAGGTGGATGTGAGAAAACAAAAGAGACATAGATCTTGACATGAACAATTTAAAAAATGAATTATAGTCTTGGTATATTTTCCTGAATAGTATCTTAAGAAAAACATTTTTTTAGTATAAGTATGTAAAAAAGAAAAGTATTTATGTGATTTTTTTCTCAGCAGTGCAGTGCATAGTCATGACACCTAACACCAGTCTGATCTAGTCTAATTGTGAGCTTCAGGCTCAGAATCTACGCAGTCAGAGATGGGGAGCAATAGAGGAAGACACCTGAGGTTGACCTCCATGAAGCCTCTCCCACACACACACAGAGCTAGGTGCTTCCTCCTTAGGTATGAACCACAATGGTGTGGTCTGTTACACACATAACCTGTGCAGTATATGCCGTTCTGTATGCATTCTGTCATTGACTGTAACATCAGATGGAGTGTGACCAGCCTCGTGCTTAGAAAACGACAATAATATGGAACACTGACATAGGTCATACAGTAGCTTCTCTTCCTGTTGAGTAGGTGTTATTTTTATTTCACAGTTGAGGCATGGAAGCCGAGAAGGGTCTAGTACCTTGTCTAAGGGGGCCTGCTCTGCTGTAGCTTGAATGTTGTTCTACTTTCTTTCACTTCCCATATGCTTACTGTGCTGACTCTCACTTTGTTTTTTACATGAATACCTTTTTCTCTCCCCACCTCTGGGTTTTTGTGTTTGTGAGAATTGAACCCAGGATAATCATGCTAACCACTAAGATGCATACTCAGCCTCCGTAAACGAATGACTTCTTAAAGTCAGCAGTAAAACCAACGGTAATTTTTATGTTTTATATTTGGATTTTATGAGACTGTACCATGCTGTAATAGCTTTATTCAGATACAATTTACATAGCATTCATTTTACCCACTAAAAGTTTATAATTAAGTGTTTCTAGCATATTCCCCAAAATTGCCCACCACTATAATCTAGTTTAGAATATTTCCAAAATCTTCAGAAGAAAGCTCTGTGCCTGTAAACACTTACTACTTATTTCCCTTAAACTCACCAGCTCTGGGTAACCACTCTGTGTTTTACCTATTTTTTTTTTTTTTGATATTTCAAATAAATGGAACAGTCTGTGGTAATTTTTAATGTGTTCAAGGTTCGTTCATAATGTTTTATGAGTTCAACATGTTCAAGTTACAAAACATAGTAGAACAAAAGTCTTATAAAATGGATTAAAGATAAAGCGATGACTCGCTGGTAAATTACCTGCTATTTTAAGAGTGAGGACTGAGTTGGATCCCAGCCCCTCTATGAAAAGCTTCAAGTGATGGTGTGTGTTTCTCACCTCAGCAGAGACAGGCATATATCTTTAAAACTCATTGGTGACCTATTAAAGCCTAATTGGTGACCTCTAGGTTCAGTGATAGACTTTGTCTCAAAATGTAAGATGGAAAGCCTACAGGAAGAACACACCTGAAGTTGATCTCACCTGAAGTTGATCTCCGGCCTTCATGCACATGCGTGCACACTTACTCACGCACATGCACACACAACCCCCCTAATGTTCTAAGGGGGTTTATGATATTTGTGTTGTGCTGAGTCTCTCCTCTCCCTGGATGTGGCCAGCTGTAGGCTGAGGTTTGGACACGATGCATCCTTCCTTTCATTTAGATCATAATCTATATACTTTGGAGGTTTGTTCAAACTTTAGACACAGTGTGCTTTTGTTTCAGATGCCGTCTTTCATTACATGGCATTCCTTGCACACTCCAAAGCCACAGCATTTACTTGAGTTTAGAAACCATCATGGAGTAGCACTAATAGGCCACTCTAGAATACATCCTTGGTGTCTGCTGTGTTAAAGATGGATTCCTCCCCAGTGAAAACTCGTTTCATTCTTTTCTCCTTCCTGCTCCCATTCCTTGCTTCTACTTTTCATTTTATGCTTGACTTTGACAAGATCAAAATATTTGGTAGCTAAGTGCATCTCTAACATGGCACTTTCCTGTTCTCACCAGTTTAAACTTTTGGAAGGTAGAGACAGTGAGACAATACATGTTTCATACTTTTCTAAAGCATCTGATATGTCTTTTAGTGGGTAATTGTGTTTTTTGAGAGGGTCTCACTTGGTAGTCTGGACCTCACTGATCCTAAACTCAAAGCCATTTATCTGCCTCAGCCTCCTGTGGGCTGATGATATTACAGGCAAAACCTCCACGTCCTGGCTCTGCAGCAAGCCTTACAATTTTCTCTGATGTTGGTCCTGCCCCAGTTACTCTGACCATCTACCTGCTTGGTCTCTATTGATTGCCTTGATCCCACTTTCATCTTGGCTGTGCACATGGCTGTCTCCTGGATGGTTAGCCCATCTTTTCACCTGGGTACCTGACTGCAGCTTCTCCTTGGCACTTTTCTGATCTTGTGCTCTGTCTTGTCCTCTGCGAAGACTGGGGCAGTGGTCTGGAGAAGGATGAACTGGCCGTTGTCTTTGATTTGAGGAGGAGAATGAGCATGACTGTCTTGAACAGGAGAAGAAAAGATCCCTTTTTTCCATGTTGGTGATGGCTACAGGGAGAGAGCAGTGCACTTGGAGGCAGGAGAGGCTTGTTGACAGTTGGAGCCTCCCTCCCGCCTCGCTCTGTGGCCTTGATCATTTGTTTGTAAAGCGAAGCTTGTTATATAGCTTCTCTCCTTTCTCTTGGGGTTCGAGTGGCTTCCACATAGTCTGAAGCTCGTTGAAGCGCTGCTCCCAGTTTTGGGCTTTCCTGTCCTTCTTGTCTCTTTATAATTGCCTCCTGGTGTGCACACAGAAACACAGTGTGCCACATTTGCTGCAGGGCTGTACAGGGGAAGTGTATACATGATGGTTGAACTATGATAGGGGAATGGGTGCCGGGGTATTTTGAGGGCTCTTTAAAGGGTGCCTGGCTTGTTAGAGTTTAGGGAAGCATTGCTGCTGAAGCTTTGATGCCATGCTGGCAGGATGGTTGTAATTAGATTTGGACTTCTTCAGAGCATCTATGCTCCATGTGTGCTTTAATGCATAATTTCTTAATGTGAATAGCTGTTTTGGGGCAGAACAGGAGAAAAGTCAGAAGAATAGCATTTTTCTGTGGTCCTACATTAAATCAACAGTCAGTATCTTAGAAACATAACACTGCAGCACCAGTGTTAGAAACCCTGCCCTTTGGCTGGGGAAGTGGTCAGGGGATAAAGGGCTTCCTGTGCAAGTGTGACGATTGAGTGTAGATCACCAGCACTCTAAAAGCTGGGAGTGGGAGTGCATGTCCGAACCTTGGGTCAGGGATGCAAATCAAGGGAAATGGGTGGAGACAGAGAAATCCTTGGGACTTTAAAAAAAAAAAAAGGTGGCGAAATAGAGGAAAGCACTCAAGTCAGCTACTGGCCTCCACGGCCTCGGCCCTCTGTACAGGAGAATGAACCTGCATAGATGCACATGTCACACCCCTCTCCTATGTACAGAGAAAATAAACTCATCCCTTTAGGTTGCTTTGTTAAAGGTCAGCAAGGGTACTTCTCATTTCAAGGCTATTTTGTGAGTTATCAGGATTGAATTCTTCAGGCAGCAGTCTTGTTATAGGAACAAAGGATTATTGCAGTATTGGTTTCTCCTTAAGTAAACTTTAAGCAGTGTCCTTTAAAAACAGATGTGAACACCTTCCACATTTAAGAGAATAGGTCTAGTGACCTATTCTCTAAAGTAATGAACCAATGCACCACTGTTTCCTTTGAAGACTTGGGCTTGTAAGGTTTTCCTCAGAAGTGAACAGGTGGGGGGGGGAGGATGTGATGGGCATGGGAGGGTAAGGAGAAAGAGCTGGACGTGGGCCTCATATTGATGGCCTTTCACTGAGTTCTTCTGACGATAGGAAGTTTGCACTTGTTTCTCATAGCTGTTCCCAGTTCTTCTGCTGGACTCCTTAGTTCTCGTCTGCCACTGTATAAAGATACATGTTTAACAGTTTCTCTGTTACCCATTTTTGGTTGTAGCAATGGCATTCAAATGTCTTTTGACTAGGAACCATGGTAGGGTGTAAGGTTTGCTTTTGTGTTTCAGCCCACATAAACCTACAGGATGATTCTCAATGGGAACCAAAGGTTTTTATAACCAGTATATGGTTTTTCTAATCGTAGTGAACTCTGATTTTTTTCCCCTCCATTTCTTTCCACTTTTCTTCACTCTGCTCCAATACTTAAAAAAACAGAATGGTGATCTAGGTGGATTTGATGACCCACAAATAGCAGCTAGAGCTAGAAAACAAACACTGGCCTGCAG